GAACTCACAGAGATCCACCTGCCTCTGCCTCCCAAGTGCTGGGATTAAAGGTGTGCACCACCATGCCTGGCTCATTAAAATATTTTTGAAAGAGCAATAGTAGCAGTAGGGCATGGTGGTGCACACCTGCAGTCTCAGCACTTGGGAGGTGGAGGCAGGAGTATCAATTCAAGGCCAGCCTCACCTATATAGTGAGCCCAGGCCAACCTGGGCGATCTGAGACCCTGTCTCAAGAAGCAAACAAAACAATAGTAAAATTAAAATTTTAGAAAGTAATCACTGTATCTTATTTATTTGATGACAGGTGATGTTACATATTGCTGAGGTCTATAAAAATTTCTGGAGAAATACTAAATTTGATTATATTGAATCTCCCTTTTATAAAACAACAGATGCTAAGATTTAATCCTCTTGGTGTGCAGAAAAGTCTAATTGTAACTTGATGATATTCAAAAGTAGTTTGGTTTTATAAGTAGTTATAAAAAGACATCACAATATGCGTGTTTTAGAAAAGTTTATTTAGCCACATAGTTGCTTATATATTTGTAAATAACTTTATTCTTTAGACATGGGTGCCATTCTTGAGTGTATGTTTTTCCTTTATTTATTTTAGATTATTTTAAACATGCAAACATCCTAATAGTGTGCTTTCCTGTTCTCTATTTAAGACAAGCCTATTTCTACTTTCACAAATACTTTCAGGTATATACAGACTTTAAGTATTATACTCTTGGACTTTTTCATGCAGAGTATTAAAACTGGATTTATAACATTAATTACATGTTTTTTTTTTTCTGAAGGATTAAGGCAGTAGGAAGGGAAAATAAAGGCATTGGATTAATTCCTATTCATTAAGAAAAAGAGAGACCTTGTTGTTTAGTGTATATTTTTATTTTGCTGCATCCCTTGTTAAAAGGCATTTATTGTGGCTGTATTTTAAACTTCAAATACATAGGTTCTCATTCTTGAAGTGAGGCAGAAATAGTATGTATTGAATACTCTATAAACTTTTTTTGAGGTGGGGGTCTCACTATATTGCCTAGACTGGCCTTGAACTCCTGTCTTCAAATAATCCTCCTGCTTAAGCCTTCAGAGTAGGTGGGCTATAGGCATCTAAACATTTTAAATATTTATTTCTCTGATAAAGCCTATTGTGCCATAATAAAATTAAAAGTCAAGTAAACAAACCAGTCCTCATAGTCTTTGAGAGAAATAGATCACTATCTTTTTTAAAATGCAGTGCTTTTTATCTGAATGGATGGAAATCACATTAAATTTTAATTTTGTTGATCTTAGTGAATAGAAGGAATCACTCCATGGAAACAAACTCCATTTGTTTTCTAATTTCTTAGAATTTTTTGTAGTGTGTGTGTGTGTGTGTGTGTGTGTGTGTGTGTGTGTGTGTGTTTGCTAGGGATTAGACCCAGACCCTC